AAGCAGTCAGAACCAATTCCATTGTGAATTTAATTACTACTCGCAATAAAAATATTAGTCACCCCTCAACCACTCAGTATTTTGGCTCTAACTTCGTCAATTCTACTCCGTTTTTCTTCAAATTTCGCGCAAAATGACAGCCTTGATTGGCCCGATCGTTTGCCGCCTATTTCAGGCTAATATTGACGGAGTTATGCGCCAAAAACACTTTGCAATGGCACCAACACTTGAAGACATTGTAGCCGCTCTTCAGCGCATTGAAGCTGGTGAGTCGATTGCTGCTGTTGCACGTAGCTCTCCACTAAAAAGCTCGACATTGTACAAATACAAGAAGATGAAAGCTCAAACTGGGTCGATTAGTATAATGAAGCGAGGTGCTAAGCCATTGATGCCACCAGACATGGAAGACGACCTTGTGGAATGGATTACAGCCATGCAGCGCTGTGGTTGGCCCGTTGAACGCTATGAAATCATTCAAAAGGCAAGTCAAATGGCATCGCACCTTGCTGGAACCCCTTGCACTCTTGGACGTGGTTGGTACGCTCGCTTCGAGGGCCGCCATTATGAGTTGACTGACCGAGTCTCCCAGAAGCTGAGTCATGCCCGGAACTCTGTCACCAAGGAAGGAATCACGAGATACTTCTTTGAGCTTGTGAAAGGGTGTCTTGGGTTCAAGTGTACTGCTGGGGATATCTACAACGTCGATGAGACAAGTTTTAAGACTCAAGGTGGCTCTAAGAAGGTCGTTGCCATACGTGGGTCTAAAAATGTGTGGCGAGGTGAACAGAAAGACGCGTACCATCTCACAATCGTGGCTGCAGTTGCTGCAGATGGTACACCGGTTCCTCCAGCCTTCATTCTTCCTGGCAAAAGTTGCGCGCGAGAGGTTCTTGATGACTGCCCTGTACAAGGTGCCCTGGTTTCTGCTGCTCCGAAAGGCTTCATGAACTCAGACCTATTCGACAGCTGGTTAGAGTGCTTTGGAGAGTGGAAGCTGCGCCACCGAGACGCAAGACCTGCCATTCTGGTCTTGGACAATTGCTCATCTCATTTGTCAGAGAGCAGTCTCCCGATATGTGATGCATATGGAATTTACCTCGTACGACTCCCTCCCAATGCTACCCATCTGCTGCAGCCACTTGATGTAGCGCTGTTCCGCACATTTAAGAGAACGATCGCTCGTGCCTTTACCCAACGCCTTCAGTCGCTCAACGACACGACGCTGCCACGACAAGCCGCAATCCAAATCGCAGGGGAATCATTTAACGCTGTCTTTCCCGCTGTGGACGGTGTTGATGAGAAGAACAAGTCTGTCGCTAATGGTTTCCTCACCTGCGGAATATGGCCTTTGTCGCTGCCCAAGATGCTTCGCCGCCTGTCGTTGGCAAAGACAAACTCTGTGAGTGACGACGTAGGAATAGCTCCATGGCTCAAGACGAAGACGTATATACGAGACGAGGTGT